ATCATCCATGGCACTTCCACTGACCGAAGCACCGAAGACCAAAAAATAAGACACGTCATCAGCGGTGTTGGATGATATCGGAGCCTGCAGTCGAAAGTGGATAGTTGCTGATTTTGTTCCCAGACCACTGATAACGCGGTCAATTTGGAATGGTTGCTGCCCATTGTCATGGTAATAGACCTGCAAATCTTCGCCATCTTCACGTGTCAGTCGTCCGCGGTCTAGCATCTCTCGGTGGTTCACTGAGGAGAGAAGACTCATGCCAATCAATGTCGCAAGTCATTTGAAGTATTTCACTATTGATCAAGGGTAAGAACCAAATCTGGAAAAAAATTTTTCATTCAACCTTGAAAAGAGAATAGCAGATAATTTCCTTTATATATGAAGGTAAGGAAGAAATATTTGAGAATCAGGTTTTATGTCTAGTTTTGTGGGATAGCATGACTTGTAGCTGAGTGACACGTTTTGATGCAATAAATACCACAAATAACTGATCTTTATTGTTATACCTTATTTCACGTGCAATTAAAACATGCTATTATTTATTTTTGGTTCTATCAAACTAATTTTTACAGGAAGATATTTCACTTCGTAAAACTGGTAGAATATTAGGCTGAATTCATTGACTGACTGGTTTAAGGGACCAGCAACAGTTTTGAAACGTTGAATAATTTGTTACTATTCTCACTTTAGATTTCTTTCTTCTTCCCTCCCTTGTTATACGTTGAATATTTGAAAGTTCAAAACGCAAATGTATCATTCGAATTTAATATTTCTTAGTGTTTGCATTAGTTGTCTTGACTTCGCTCAAAGCAGGTCTCGAAAGAACTTTATTGCTTCGATTCGCTGAAAAATATTGAAATGTGAATACTTCAGTTTATCCAGTTTAAAAATTCGGGGAAAAAAAATTCTTTTACTTTACCTGCTACACTTATAGTAAAGTGCTTGGGCAGTGGAGATACTGTTTCAATTCGTATTGGTATTTTACCGCCTGACCAGGTCATACAGGGCTGATATCTCGAAGTGTTCCCCTTGGAGAGCTTTTCCAAAAGATGTTGAACTGGCCTCAACAGGGCGATTTCTTCTTTGGCGACACGAGTCAATTTCGAGGCATCTTTCTGCATAGCCTCGGCCTTAGTTTCCTTTTCGTTAAAAGATTTCACATCTAAAGTCAACTTGTAAATCAACGAGTCGATCTCACTTTTCGCGCGGTGAACTTCGCCATGTTTGGACGGTTTTGTGGCTTGGGATTTTGTAATCCCATCAAACGAGGGGAATAACAAAGCGATTAACAGTAAAACCTGGCATACTTGGAAAGCCATTTCGATGGCGACGAATACGACTCACTGCAATAGTTGGCAATTGTAAATCAATATGTTGGCTATACAAAGGAATGGTTGCCGAATGACTGAATGAATCATGATAGTCGGAGAATTCGGAAGCTAGATTTTCAGGTTATTTTTTCGTGAATTGTATAGACTGGTTACGTACTCAGACGTCACGAAAAAGCTCACGCTCCCAAATTTGTTGTATGCATATTGGTCACGCAGTTTGATACATAAACAATAATTTGCACATTTTATTATGTGCATTAAAGTCGGAAAGACTCAACTCTGAATTTTAGCTGACTGGCTTTGCATGCCTTACGTTATTGATATGATCTGATGCGTGGAAAAATAAACTTAAACAGTACGCGGGTGAGATTGTGGGGGAAATTTTGGTGAAGGTCCTGTACCTTAATATCAAGATACAACTTTAAATTCAAAATCATGAGGCCAGCCTACATTGTAAAAGCTGCCGGTTTCAACTACGATCATCACAATAAAAAACGGCCAGCCTTGGTGTGTTGAAGTAGTCCTCGTGTCACGGTTCTGAATCTCTGCCGATAACAAAAACAATCCCAGCTATATCAGTTGAGGTAAGAACAACTGTAGGCTTTGAATTGTACCCCCTTTTGTTCCCGGAGCAAAAAATGAAGCGCTAAAAAGGAACGCTTTAATGGAAGGATATTCAGGCTTATCACTAGAAGGAAGCTATGTAAGCCATAATTCCATGATCGTTACCATCACGGCCTGGTTGTCGGATTTGTGACAACAAACTGAACAAAGGTGAGCAGTCCAGTGATCTGAAAAAGTAACGATATAGGGAAATTACCTTAAATTGGAACTGAACTCTATTTAATTCGGCATTGCGTTGAAAATATTTTGCGTTTATTCCGTGTAGTCGCTGCGATCGCAAAAATAGACTTTCAGATATCGTATTGATCACATGGAACGGGAAATAAGGATTTGCTTGTATGGCGCGCCGTTTGTTTCAAAATTATTTTTGTCAGTTGTACCATTTCATTGTCTTTTTCGTTATGTTTTTTATTTAGAGTTACTGTGGTATGAACATATTCTCTGTCAGTTGTACGCATCACTCTATCAGTTGTTACTGTACGGGCTACAAATTGTCGGTTATAAACCTTCTTTCTGTCGGTTGTACGCATTCCTCTGTCGCTGTCAGCTGTAAATATTTACAGTGTCGGTTGTACACACTACTCTCTCGGTACTCTGTCGGTTGTACGCACTACTCTATCACTTGTAAAATTTACTCTGTCAGTTGTTCACAAATCTCTGTCGGCTGTACGCACTACTCTGTCGGTTGCTACCATTTACTCTGTCGGTTGTAGGCACTAATCTGTCGGTTGTAACATTTACGCTGTCGGTTGTACGCACTACTTTGTCGGTACTCTGTCGGTTGTATTCACTACTCTATCGGTTGTACGTTTACCCTGTCAGTAGTACACAAAACTCTGTCGGTGGTATACACTACTGTGTCGGTACTCTGTTGGCTGTACGTACTACTCTGTCAGTCTCAAACATTTACTCTGTCGGTTGTACGCACTTTTCTGTCGGTTGTAACATTTACTCTGTCAGTTGTACCTACCACTCTGTCAGTTTTAAACATTTACACTGTCGGTTGTACGTACTACTCTGTCGATTGTAACATTAACTCCGTCAGTTGTACTTACTACTTTGTCGGTTGTACGAACTACTCTGTCGGTTGTACGCACCTGTCGCTTGTGTACATTGTTCGGTCGGTATGTACTCTGTCGGTTGTAGGTGCTATTCCGTCGGTTATTAAACATTAACTCTGTCAATTGTATGTACTGCTCTGTTGGTTGTAAACATTTTCTCTGTCGGTTGTACGCACTACTCTGTCGGTTGTATACATTACTCTGTCAGTTGCACCTACTACTAATAAACTCTGTCAATTGTACGCACTTACTCCGTCGGTTGTAAATATTTACTCTGTCGGTTGTGTGCATTGTTCTGTCGGTTATGTACATTACTTTTTCGGTTGTACTTACTAATCTGTCTGTTGTGTACATTACTCTGTCAGTTGTACGCACTACTTGGTCGGTTGTGTACATTACTCTGTCAGTTGTACGCACTACTCTATCGGTTGTACGCACTACTCTGTCAATTGTAGGCAATACTCCGTCGGTTTTAAATTTACTCTGTCGGATTGTGTACATTTTTCTGTCGGTTACTTACATTTCTTTGTCTGTTTTAAGCACTACTCTGTCGGCTGTGTACATTACTCTGTCAGTTGTACGTACTACTCTGTCAGTTGTACGCATCACTGTCGGTTGTACGCACTGCTCTGTCGGTTGTAAATATTTACTCTGTCGATTGTACGCACTACTCTGTCGGTTGTAAATATTTACCCTGTCGGTTGTACGCACTACTCTGTCGGTTGTAAATATTTACTCTGTCGGTTGTTAAACATAAACTCTGTCAGTTGTATGTACTACTCTGTCGGTTGTAAACATTTACTCTGTCGGTTGTACGCACTACTATATCGGTGGTATGTACTACTCTGTCGGTTGTAAACATTTACTCTGTCGGTTGTATGTACTACTCTGTCGGTTGTAAACATTTACTGACTGTCGGCCAGTTCTACGCACTACTCTGTCGGTTGTAAATTTTTACTCTGTCGACGCACTACTCTGTCCGTTATATGTACATTACTCTGTCGGTTGTACCCACTACTCTGCTGGAACCCACTTCTCCGTCGGTTGGGTACATTACTCTGTCAGTTGCATGCACTACTCTGTCGGTTGTAAGAACAAACTCTGTCAATTGTACGCAATACTCCGTCGGTTGTACACATTTACTCTGTCGGTTGTACCCACTACTCCGTCGGTAATATAAACATGACTACTCTGTCGGTTTAACACAGTTACTCTCTCAGTTGTACGCACTACTCTGTAGGTAGGAAGTATTTACTCTGTCGGTTGTAAACCTTTACTCTGTCAGTTGTAAGCACTTCTGTGTTGGTTGTACAAACTACTTAGTTTGTTGTAAACATTTACTCTGTTAGTTGTACTTACCACCCTGCCGGTTATAACTTACATTTACTCTGTCAGTTGCACGCACTACTCTGTCAGTCAGTAAACATTTACTCTTTTGGTTGTACGAAATACTCTGGCGGTTGTAAAAATAAACTTTGTCAATTGTATGCAATACTGCGTCGGTTTTAAACATTTACTCTGTCGGTTCTACACACTATTCAGATAGTCGTCAACCTTTAGTCTGTCTGTCGGTTGCAAATTGAACGCGCTATTTCGTCAGTTTTGCACGTGTTCCATCTACCACACTGAGTGTTTTCCTTTTGTTTTGTTTTTTTTTTTAAAATAAAACACCTTCTGGAAAATAACTTTACTATGAAAGGATGTTACGGCATGTAACATCGCATACGTGAAAAAATACCACTGTTTGTATCACCCTTATCAAGCGGTTTTTCGTGGAATAAAGAGCTATACGAAATGATGAAAGAGTCCCTAGTGTTAATCTTGTAAAAGTCAAGCAGTTAGATGATCACACTCTAATAATTAGCCAGTAAATTTACTCACACTCAATCAAATGCCTGGAAATTTACACAGACAAAAAAGGGTAGTGTCTGAGAACCCCACCTATCCACCACCCTCAGTGCTTTGTTGAGGTGTTTTTTTTAAATCAAACACGCACACAAAATCATTTTGGTATTTGCAGCTTTCTGAAAAATTAAGTCAATACAAGAGAGAATGGGCTAAAATTAGATAATTTTCCCTTGGTTAATACAAAAGGATGTTAAGGCAAGTAGAACGTCGCTCAAATAAGAAAACCCAATATTTAAAGGAGTTATGTTTTGATAACTGATTTGACATATAAATAGCCAACCGGAAATTTACCCAGAACAAAAGGGTACATCAAAACCCCGCTGATCGACCACCTAGAATATTTGTTATCATATTTATTGACCCGTTATTGACTTTGTCTCCTACATGAAGATTTCATTACCAAAACATTCAATATAACAACAAATTAAATAGAGTAGAATAAAAGTTAAGTAAGAAAGAAAGGAACAACACTTACATAATTATTGAACTAATTAACGGCATTTACTGTCCTGTAAGCCAGAGGGTACAGTGTGGAATAAAGAGCTACCCGAAATGACCAGAGCCCCTGTTGATTTGTTCCATTTGTTCCATTTGATTTTGTCCCATTTGTTCCTTTTCAGTAAAACGAAATCATAAATTAAACAAATTAAAAAAAAAAAAGAAAATGAACTTTGATCAGTCGGCTATGCTATGCTGTCAGGCGAAAGGAACGTTTCAGTAGTGTGTAATGTTTAATACAACCAACCGAGTGGTGCGTAAAACCGACGGAGTATATGTTTGCAATCGACAGTGTAGTGACAACTGACAGAGTAATCTACACAACCGACAAAGTAGTGGATACAACCGACAGAGCCCGGGGACGGCAGAGTAAACATTTACAACCAACAGAGTAGTGGGTACAAATGACAGAGTAAATATTTACAATCGACAGAGTAGTACATACAACTGACAGAGTAAATGTTGCAACCGGCATAGTAGTACGTCAACCGACAGAGTAGTGCATACAACCGACAGAGTAGTGCGTACAACCGACAGAGTAAATGTTTACAACCGACAGAGTAGTGCATACAACCGACAGAGTAGTGCGTACAACCGACAGAGTAAATGTTTACAAACGACAAAGTAGTACATAAAACTGACAGAGTATTGTACACAACCGACAGAGTTAAGTGCGTACAACCGACAGAGTTTTGTGTACAACAGACAGAGTAAATTTTACAACTGATAGAGTAGTGCTGACAACCGACAGAATAAATCTTTGCAACCGACAGAGTATTACGTACAACCGACAGAGTAAATATTTACAACCGACAGAGTAAATCTTTGCAACCGACAGAGTAGTACGTACAATTGACAGAGTAATGTACATAACCGACCGAGTAGTGCGTACAACTGACAGAGTAATGTACACAACCCAGACAACCGACAGAGTAGTGCGTACAACTGACACAGTAATGTACACAACCGACAGAGTAGTGCGTACAACCGACAAAGTAATGTACATAACCGACAGAGTAATATACATAACCGACAGAGTAGTGCGTACAACCGACAGAGTGATGTACACAACCGACAGAGTAGTACGTACAACTGACAGAGTAATGTACACAACCGACAGAGTAGTGCGTACAACCGACAGAGTTTTGTGTACAACTGACAGAGTAAATTTTACAACTGATAGAGTAGTGCTGACAACCGACAGAGTAAATCTTTGCAACCGACAGAGTAGTGCGTACAACCGAAAGAGTAAATGTTTACAACCGACAGATTAGTGCATACAACCGACAGAGTAGTGCGTACAACTGACAGAGTTTTGTGTACAACTGACAGAGTAAATTTTACAACTGATAGAGTAGTGCTGACAACCGACAGAGTAAATCTTTGCAACCGACAGAGTATTACGTACAACCGACAGAGTAGTGCGTACAACCGACAGAGTTTTATGTACAACTGACAGAGTAAATTTTACAACTGATAGAGTAGTGCTGACAACCGACAGAGTAAATCTTTGCAACCGACAGAGTATTACGTACAACCGACAGAGTAGTATGTACAACTGACAGAGTAAATTTTACAACTGATAGAGTAGTGCTGACAACCGACAGAGTAAATCTTTGCAACCGACAGAGTATTACGTACAACCGACACAGTAGTGCGTACAACCGACAGAGTAGTGCGTACAACCGACAGAGTAATTGTTTACAACCGACAGATTAGTGCATACAACCGACAGAGTAGTGCGTACAACTGACAGAGTTTTGTGTACAACTGACAGAGTAAATTTTACAACTGACAGAGTAGTGCTGACAACCGACAGAGTAAATCTTTGCAACCGACAGAGTATTACGTACAACCGACACAGTAGTGCGTACAACCGACAGAGTAGTGCGTACAACCGACAGAGTAATGTTACAACCGACAGATTAGTGCATACAACCGACAGAGTAGTGCGTACAACTGACAGAGTTTTGTGTACAACTGACAGAGTAAATTTTACAACTGACAGAGTAGTGCTGACAACCGACAGAGTAAATCTTTGCAACCGACAGAGTATTACGTACAACCGACACAGTAGTGCGTACAACCGACAGAGTATTATGTACAACTGACAGAGTAAATTTTACAACTGATAGAGTAGTGCTGACAACCGACAGAGTAAATCTTTGCAACCGACAGAATATTACGTACAACCGACAGAGTAGTGCGTACAACCGACAGAGTAGTGCGTACAACCAACAGAGTAAATGTTTGCAACCGACAGAGTAGTGCATACAACCGACAGAGTAGTGCGTACAACCGACAGAGGAAATGTTTACAACCGACAGAGTAGTGCATACAACCGACAGAGTAGTGCGTACAACCGACAGAGTAAACGTTTACAAACGACAAAGTAGTACTGACAGAGTAAATTTTACAACTGATAGAGTAGTGCTGACAACCGATAGAGTAGTGCGTACAACCGACAGAGTTTTGTGTACAACTGACAGAGTAAATTTTACAACTGATACAGTAGTGCTGACAACCGACAGAGTAAATCTTTTTAACCGACAGAGTATTACGTACAACCGACAGAGTAGTGCGTACAACCGACAGAGTTTTATGTGCAACTGACAGAGTAAATTTTGCAACTGATAGAGTAGTGCTGACAACCGACAGAGTAAATCTTTGCAACCGACAGAATATTTAGTACAACCGACAGAGTATTGCGTACAACCGACAGAGTAAATGTACACCACCGACAGAGAAGTGCGTACAACCGACAGAGAAAATGTTTACAACCGACAGAGCAGTACATACAACCGACAGAGTTAATGTTTAACAACCGACAGAATAGCACCTACAATCGACAGAATAAGGAATAAGTGCGTACAACCGACAGAGTATATATTCACAATTGACAGGGTATATATTTACAACCGACAGAGTAGTTCCTACAACCGACAAAGTAGTAAGTACAACTGACAGAGTTAATGTTACAATCGACAGAGTAGTACGTACAACCGACAGTGTAAATGTTTAAAACTGACAGAGTGGTAGGTACAACTGACAGAGTAAATGTTACAACCGACAGAAAAGTGCGTACAACCGACAGAGTAAATGTTTGAGACTGACAGAGTAGTACGTACAGCCGACAGAGTACCGACACAGTAGTGTATACCACCGACAGAGTTTTGTGTACTACTGACAGGGTAAACGTACAACCGATAGAGTAGTGAATACAACAGACAGAGTACCGACAAAGTAGTGCGTACAACCGACAGTGTAATTATTTACAACCGACAGGGTTGTGCGTACAACTGACAGCGTAAATGTTACAACCGACAGATTAGTGCCTACAACCGACAGAGTAAATGGTAGCAACCGAAAGAGTAGTGCGTACAGCCGACAGAGATTTCTGAACAACTGGCAGAGTAAATTTTACAAGTGATAGAGTAGTGCGTACAACCGACAGAGTACCGAGAGAGTAGTGTGTACAACCGACACTGTAAATATTTACAGCTGACAGCGACAGAGAAATGCGTACAACCGACAGAAAGAAGGTTTATAACCGACAATTTGTAGCCCGTACAGTAACAACTGATAGAGCGATGCGTACAACTGACAGAGAATATGTTCATACCACAGTAACTCTAAATAAAAAACATAACGAAAAAGACAATGAAATGGTACAACTGACAAAAATAATTTTGAAACAAACGGCGCGCCATATGCTTGAATGCTCAAAATCATCGGTAATTACCATGAGCCATGAAGCGAGACTGAAGCGAGACTGACTGGTGGATTCCGGTCGCTTCAGTGTTCCTGAAATAAACGTTTGCGTTTTCATTTTCTTCCAAGAGAGTAGATCTCTTTTTTGTTTTCTCAAAAAAAACACTCAACAAGACGTTTACCCATCAACCTTTTTATTTTTTGCGTTTGGACGCAATCGCTTAATTAATAGTTAGTGGAAAAAAATGCAATACCCTCTAAACCAAAAACGTGTCAGGTTACTGACTACCTACAAATTATTGTAGGGAAAAGTCTTGACAAAGCAAAACTACACAACTCAGTCGTTATTCTCAATTGCAATGTGGCACTTTTATTTTCTAGACCACTTCCTCTAATCAAAACAATTATCTTCTTTCTCACAAGAAAATTGGCCCCTTATCACCAGAGCAAAGTCAATAATTATCCAGCGCTCAAAAATTACTACCCTTTTACCAGATATTACTCTTCTGTTAACTCGCAATGCAACGCAAATATAGTAATGTAACCATGGTTACTTGAGCCAGACCGTCAGGTGTGGAGACTGGTGGTTGATTGACCTGTTCGGCCAATCAGTATCACTGCTTGGACTATCGTAACCATTGCCATTCTGGGACCAGCCATGCGCAGTGGATCCTTTAGTCATGACCCCAACAATCATACAGTAGTCGTTTGTGGCGGCGTCTCCTGCAGTATTATAGGAGGTGTAAGGATACGCACCTCCATGTAATGTATAAGGCATTATCCCGAACTTGTTGTGGTAACACATCTGGGTGAAAAAAAAACAGCAAGAGTTCTACAGAAAGCCGTTTTAGTTGACTGACAGTTTATCAGAAGAAAGCATTTTGCACACAGGACGACAGATGTATTCTGAGATAGAGTACGAAATGTAGGGCTTACTCTTCTTTATAAGGTGAATAAGGTGATAGTCGTGTGTTTTGTAGCCGAGTTTAGCAATATGCTCTCCTTTAGATCTCTTGAACTGGGCGTGGGTTTATGGTCAATAACTACCTTAAGTAGACCGTAGCTTTTATGAAGTAATGAAGAACAGAGAATGTATTGTTTTCGATTGAACACGTGATACACAACAGGGAATCTACGAGCCGTGTTCATGTTTGTGAGTCTCGTGCTCTTCCCGTCTTCAACCAATCGTCGGCTGTATTCATTTGCAACATACGTGTACTGCTCTCGCATTTGCCCGCTGAATTTTTTTTATTGTTACGGCAATTCATGACATTTCTAAACAAATTAAACAGTGCGCACGTACACAAAGGGCGGATCTAAGGGGGGGGGGCAGGGGGTGCGCCCCCACCCCCCCCCCCCCACCTGAGATGACCTGCGGTTTTCTAATACAACTGGTATTCTGCAAAAAAAAAACTATGTGGTTTATTGGTGTTAAAGTAGAGCAAGAGACGAGTGCACCCCCTCCTAAAAAAAATCCTGGATCCATCCCTGTGTATAGGTAAAATCTTTGGTCGTTGGCACTTAGCAATAGCTATAACTAGCAATGTTTAATTGTTGGCCTAAAGGACACAGTGCTGCGTGGCGGATCCAGAGGGGTGGGGAGTGCTCTCTCTCCGCGCCCCTCCCTTAGAGCGCGCAGTGCAGCATAGTTTTCACCGAAAAAGGCCAATTCTCATCTACGTGGTTACCTTTTTGTTTCCATTCCAAGCGAACACCATGACAGGTGTTTGTACAGCTGCCTTTACAGTAGTTACCGCAACCGAATGGCGCCAAAACGAGTCTTTTTCTCTGCCACCAGGCAACCTCCACATGACCCACTTGCTCCCCAACCCATCCATCCTCTCACCGCTGGACAACAGAACCGTGGATGCTTCATCTACTGCTAAACTGCACGCGTCTATGCAGGCAAACTGTTTCCGTCTTGTGATCTTTGGAGACTTTAGCGATGCAGTGTTGTGGTTAGACACCAACCATTTATTGTAAATGTTGCCCACATTTCCGCTGATTTTGCCGACAAGGGTCCAGCCACCGTTTTTCATGTCGCAGTAAGTCTGCACAGACGAGCTGCCTTGGAGGTCTGTCTTGATCCAGTAAACGCCATTCTTAGCGCGCGGTTTGTTGCTCGCGAGACTTGCATCATGGATCTGTTTGCATGAGTCCGCAGGAAGCTTTTTCTCGCCTAACAGAGCAATTTTCTTGGGAAGGAATGACTGAAAAGATCCCAGGGTGATGTTTGGGGGTGTAGAAACCACGAAAGTCACTTTGATATTGTCATAAAAGGTTTTACAGTTGTAGGGGGAGTGATGACATCCCAGTCCAAATGTTCCTGCTGGTATCATCCACTTCGAGCTCACTTGAATGTTGTCGTGTACAATTTTGCCATTTGCCCATTGTGAAAACCTGTCTCCAAGTACTCGATACTTGAAGTGGAACCATTTGTTCAATTTGTAGGTTGTGGGTAGTTTTCCTTTGATTAACCAGCCACCATCTTTATTAGCTGCTAAAGGTCTCATGTAGGAAGAATCAGAATGACCTGGGTAGTACTGAAACCACCAACCTGAGGTTTTGCTAAGGCTCACATCGCTGAGGCGCAGGAATGGTCCAGAAGCGGACTTACTCTTTCCAGTCTCCATGAAGTCAAGCTCTACCATAACATCTTTCCACTGAAACCCTGATTTGAGATACAGTCCGACCTCAATATTATCTTTGGTTAAATCTTTACTCTGCATTGTGCTTCCCAGTAATCTCCCGTTTTGCACGCTCCATTTCCCCCAGTTTTTCACCCATTCTTTCTTTAAAGTTGCGCTCGAGAAATCGTCGAAAAATGCGTACACTTTGGCAGGATCATCCATGGCACTGCCGCTGACCGAAGCACCGAGGACTAAAAAATAAGACACGTCATCAGCAGTGTTGGATGATATCGGAGTCTGCAGTCGAAAGTGGACAGTTGCTGATTTTGTTCCCAGGCCACTGATGACACGGTNAAATCGTCGAAAAATGCGTACACTTTGGCAGGATCATCCATGGCACTGCCGCTGACCGAAGCACCGAGGACTAAAAAATAAGACACGTCATCAGCAGTGTTGGATGATATCGGAGTCTGCAGTCGAAAGTGGACAGTTGCTGATTTTGTTCCCAGGCCACTGATGACACGGTCAATTTGGAACGGTTGCTGTCCGTTGATATGGTAATAGACCTGCAAGTCTTCGCCATCTTCACGTGTCAATCGTCCGTTGTCTAGCAGCTCTCGGTGATTGACTGTGGATAGAAATGTCAGAATGTGCTCAAAACTATTACATTTTTGTTCAGGTGTAAGGACGGAAATTGAGAGTCTGATCTTGACTGCGAGGAAAGAATGGCAAATAATTCCAATTTAAAACAGGATAAGAAGTGCTATTCAAGAATGAGAATTGTTAATAGTATGATTTGTAATGGCGTAAACACCAGAACTAATATACTGCAAACTAAAAACATCGTTTTAGCCCCCCGGCCTAGTTTGGGCTAATTTAGACCCACCGGCTGTAAGTTTCAAGGGCTGGAATAGATCTTTTATAGGGCTGTGTTGGCGCAAAGTGTACTCAAATCGCTGAACAAAAGAATTATTCAGACTTGGGGCTTACAGGGTTTGACTGGAAGTTGGGCCCGAAGCAGATCTTTCCAATTTACAGTGTAAGTTTCAAATTTGTTATACCTAATTTCACAAAACATAGAACATTCATGCCTGTACCTGAGTTGTTCTAAAATTTTTACATGTAGGTATTTCTAGTTACGCTGAAAACCAGTGGAAGATTCATCGGTTACCAAAAACGTCTTACGAGATTTTAACAATTTTGCCAGTTTGTGTGTGCGCATTGTTTTTTAGTAATTAAGCAGCCCATTACCCTTCTGAACCATTTTTTTTCTTATGTTATTTTTTCCTTGATACGTTTCCTACTTAATAGTTCCATATTTGTTGTCATTAAATTTCATTTGTTTCCGTAATATATTTTAGTAGCTGGAAATTTATTTGTTCCGATTTTTGCCTGAAAAAATTAGGAACGCTAAATGATCTTACTTAACTGGATAAATATGGCCTCTTACCTGGTACACTTATAGTGAAGTGTTTGGGCAGAGGGGATGCAGCTTTAATTTGTATCCGTATTTTACCGCCTGGCCAGGCCATACAGCGTTCTTTTCCATTCGAGGAGTTCCCCTTTGCAAGCTTTTCCAAGAGACGTTGAACTGGCCTCAACAGGGCGATTTCCTCTTCTGCGACCCGAGCCAGTTTCGAGGCATCTTTCTGCACAGCCTCGGCCTTAGTTTCCTTTTCGTTAAAAGATTTCAAATCTAAAGTCAACTTGTAAATCAACGAGTCGATCTCACTTTTCGCGCGGTGAACTTCGCCGTGTTTGGAGGGCTTTGTTGCTTGGGATTTTGTGATCACATCAAACGAGAGGAACATCAAAGCTGTTAACAGAAAATGAGTCTGGCGTACTTGGAAAGCCATTTGGATGGCAGAAAATACAAACTTTGCCAAAACCGAAATAAGCTGTAACAAGGGATGGCAAACAATGACCTTCTGTGTGACTCATGTTTACAAATCAGAAGCTTTACTTACAAGTTATTTTTTCCTGAAATGCATAGGCTTGATACATATATAGAGACGTCACGAAAAACAACTCAGATATTTTGTTTGCATAGTCACGCGTTTTCTTTAAGTAACGAATAAATTATTCATTTTAGCTGGAACTGAGGACTTACTTCTGATAACGCAGTTTCGGGAAAATAATGCGTTTTTTAGTTTCCTTTTAATATGTGATTCCCTTGGAGAAGGCCTGAATTATGCTAAAAATCCCGGGACCTAACTAGCCTGATTGTCAGACGTCTGAGAAGGGGTCAGGGTAGGGAACAACTAAATTACTTCATTCCGACAGCTGTGGCAAATATAAGAATAAAAAAAGAACCGGTAAATAAATTATTGTGAACTTTCCGCTTGATCCGCGAGTCCCAGACCGCAAGTCCCAAGCAGCAGTTTTTTATATTTCCCACTCTGGTCGCGTGGTCTTAGTGGGATGGGTTAGCGACGTTCTCTGTGACTTCAAAGTGACTCCCAAGGCCCCGGTGGCGGGGGGGGGGGGGGGATACTCCCTTTTATAAACCCTTTAGGGTGTTTTCCCCCCAAAGGGTAGGGGGGTGGGGTTTTTCGTGCTGTTAAAGAAGACACCGTTTTTTCGTTTTTGGTTGGTAGTGGGTTGGGGTTTTGGGGGAGCCAGCGGAGGGGGTGAAAGGGGCCCCCCGGGGCCGGGGGGGGGGGGGGGGGGGGGGTATACTCCCTTATATAAGCCATATAGGTATGTTCCGCCCCAAAGGGTATGGGTATGGGCTTTTCCGGTCTGTAAACGAGTATACACTTTGTCCATTTTGGTCTGGAATCGGGTATGGTTTTCGGGAGAACTACGGCAGTGTATGAACGTACTTATCGCTTCAATTCCAAATAAATAAGAAAGAAATAGAAATATGCGAATTGGAAATGCTTTTTGAGACATTTTTTGTTTGCGCTCTAATCTGAGTAACTAGGACTTAATTTCTGCCTAAAGGCTAGGTCTGAAAACAGGTATGGATTTTAGAGGTCAGGGACCTGTTTCTCGAAAGTCCCGATAACGTTTCGGGCCCTAAAACCGTTTTTTGTTTGCCGTGTTTCACTCTAGATCAAAGTTTCAATAATTTTGAAAATGATACAATGAAATTATCAGTTAACAAAGCAAAATTGACCGGTTTGTGAGCTAGGAACTGTGCTACTATTCAATTGGTTTTGATTTTAAATTTTACCTTCGGACCCGAAAAGTTATCGGGCCTGTCGAGAAACGGGCCCCAGGTCTGAAAACGGGTGTGGAAAATGACAGGTTTTTTTAGTCTGAAACACGGTCAGGATTTAGAGAACCAGGCAGCACACCCCCACCAATAATTCCCGGGAGTAGTCCCCCGGGCTCCAATGTTACCCGATAGACAATGATCGGCAACACAGTTAACTAGTAAATCTGATTATTTTATTTGAAGAAAGGTAAAATGAAAAGGAAAAATATTTGCCTTGTCTGTTGAAATTAATAGCGATAAGGACCAGAAGGGGAGAGTAAAATGACCGGAAAGCGATAAAGAGAGGGAAATCAAAATCAGGCTCCTGGAAAAATTGCTTTTAATTCTTTTTCTAGTTTCGAATGTTTCAGTTCATCTTCGATTCTGTTCAGTTTCTGTTATTGTCTTTCACACATATAGAATTTTTATTGCCCTTATATCTGATCCCGACCTTTGATCGGTTGGAGAACAAATATTACATAGCAATGGCAAATACGGTATGCATTTGAATATTGAAAGCAGCACTAATAACGTAATAGACGGACGACACTTGATAATCAATCAATGATGACAAATGTGTCTTTTATTCTGAAGCGGTTTTGATTTATCTCTTGTCAAGAAAACAGTTCTTTTAAATATCACTGCTAATTCGCCGGATATAAAGTTCGGTGGCCTTTGATTTTAGACAAAGAAACATCGTGCACCCCCTCCCCGCTCCCCCTTCATGTTTTAACTAGTGGTTTTGTCTAGCCTTTAGGCTCACTTAAGTTTCCAGCCGAAAAGAACTTTATTCTGAGTTGCAGACTTAATTCACCGCTGAATTATTATTCATCACGGTAAAATGGAAATGTCAACTTCAAAAAGCCCCTTTCAACAACATGTTTAACAACTCAAGACGTCATTTCACCGGCTGGGCCCTAGAGATTTCGAATTTTTTTTAAAATTAAGTTATTCCCTGCAGGCGCTTCTTGAAAAGCCTAAGCCGCTGTATGCTGAAGCAAAAATTCTTCCTCCTCTGCCATAGCTGCAAATTGGGAATTTGTTGAAAATTTTTTTACAAAACTTGAATTCTGGTGTGGAAGTCACGGTCCCTCTTTCTGACAAACTTGTTTTATCTATCCGTGCCTTGAGTTTTAAAAAACTCCTTTGGTCGATATAATTATGTAATTAGCAAACAAAGTTTGTTGACCAACAGGCCCAGGGTACATGGCAAAGTTTTGTTTCTTTTCGTTTCTTCCGGTACAAGCGGGCGGGTTAGGCAAGTAAATACGAAGTTCGTTATAAAATGACGAATGCCTTAAACTGCCTACAATATTAATTGTACACGAAATATACGCCCACTATGCAAACCACAGACTGTACTGAAGCCACCCGTTTCGAAACCTTTGTTGTCAAAACACTTGGGAGTACCTCCCACTTTTTATAGCCGCTTGTAGAAATTCTAGATTTCTGTGGAATGCATCTTTACTAGGAGCCTGTTACCCATAAGATCCTGTCTTTACCAGGCGTGACTTTCCTGCTAGAGAAAAACTCTATAAAGACACAAAAAAACTTTTTTCCTAGTCTCTTTCTATGAAATTATTTTTAAAATACTAGCACGACAATAAATAACCAAGTGTCCTTTGTGCAGCTGATCTTAACAATATTAATTATGCATACATGAATTATTCCCTAGTGAGCAGCAGGTATAAATTAGCATGAACACAATGCATAATTATGTAAAATTTCGTCGGTTGGCGCTGTCAATCAGTCGAAGCAAGGCCGCGCCAAAAGGGTTTTTTGACGTTGACGAGTGAGTGACACCGTCGCTGTTCCATCGCCTCGTGCATTTCTTTTTAATAGTGACCAATTGTAAGTCTTTCAACCTCCCATACAAACACATTAACACTGGTCCGATTATCATTTCATTTGGTCTTCCTGGAGGGGTGAGCGTTGACAATGTCTGCTTCGAATAACCTTGTTGTTTCTCTCTTCGTAGAAGCGGCCGAATGGAAGGGCTCGCGAATCGAACGCAAACTCACATGCTTCCAACTCCGCAGCAAAACATTACTGGTCCCGGACAGTATGCAGCTATATCTTTACAACAGACACAACAAGAGAGGATGCCTCCAACTTACGAAGAAGCCCAGTTAGCGGTTCAAGCGGTCGATATACAACAGATTACGAACATGGAAGCGGAAAAACAAGCTATATATCGCCATCCGCTCTTGCCTTTACTGGCTAAACTGTTCGAGAAATGCGAGCAGTCAACTCAAACGTGCGAATTGACTCCAGCTAACGCTTTCGACAACGAAATAAAGAATGGCATTCTGCAGATGAATCGAGAGGGAAAGTCTTTCTACACGGAGGATAGGGATCTAGATAATTTGGTGAGCATAGTTTTTTTATTCTTTGTATTCAAGTCAAAACCGTTTCCAGGCTTTAGTATAGCATCTTGAAAACTCTTCATCCCTTGTTTATCAAGTTAAGCTGTGTATCTTCAATAACACAGAAATTTCGTGCCACCTCAGCTAAAGCATTTCTTAGTCTTTAACGTGATACCCTCGTGGATTAAACTTATTAAAAGATACATATTTCACAATCAGCTAACTGGAATAAAGCCCTTGTTTTTTGCGATCGACTGATACTCGTGTCGTCTTCCTTCATCGCGATCTTTTCGTCGTTATTAATTGTTTTCAATGGTACCCGTGGCGGATTTCAAAACGGAGGGCATCCCTCAAATAAAGACACAGACGCCGCGTTTATTATTCTGCAGGTACCATGAAAAGGTCTTTCTGTATTGCGTTTCTTTCGGACAAATTTTAATCCCGATTATGTTAAGCTTCTTTTAAAATATGGCGGCCGAAAGGAAATCCCACATTACAGGAGCAAGAATAAAACATTCGATAAAAACCAGGATATTTTCTCTGGTCACGTTATATTAACTTGCTGATACAAAAGCTTAGTTAGTAAGTAATGGTTTTCAAGGCTTTGTTTACAAGTAAAAGTGCAAAATTATTATCCATTTTTAAGAGGAAGATCAGATTCTTTTGCGGATCATCAGAAGATTTCCGTTTTCCTGCCTACTTACAGCTACTTGTGCCTCGCGTGAAATATGCGACATTTCCGTTGGCCATTTCCTCGTTTATAGTGTTGATACTTTTAATTACTTTACTCTTGCGAATTTTCGTAAAATTAATATTAATACTTAGTCAAGGGTCTTAAATTAAGAACTGACTGTAGTCTTCCTTAACAGGATTGCGATAATAACAAAGCAAAATAATGTCTAATATTTACATAATATGCAAATATGTTTTGGAAGGCATTTATTGTAGATCCGTCCTTTTTTTTTTTTCTTGTATGATAAATAATCATGAAAACTGTGTTCAGACTTGGCCTTAATATTTTCTTAGAATACAATATCTTATGGAATTTCAGCGAAGTTCCATCAACCGTGATTCCCATTTTATGGAAGAAACAATTTATTCCAAATTTGTTATCAATTTTTTATACAGTTTAAGTACAGCGTTTGTTCTGAGCATAGCTGCTTTTGTACCAACAGATGATCAAAGCAATCCAGGTTCTCAGAATTCATCTGCTTGAGCTTGAAAAAGTCAATGAACTCTGCAAAGATTTCTGCCAACGTTACATTGCTTGCCTGAAAGGGAAAATGCAGAGTGAAAATTTACTTCGCAGTCCTCTTCAAACAACTTACTCCCCTGCGGTGAATGTCTTGAATGCAAATGTGCAACCACAGACACCGACAACCCCAATTCAAGCACCCCAGCCAACATTTATTCCCCAGCAGCAAGTTGCTTATTACACAGCACCTGCAGCTGTTACGCCTTGCACTGTCGCCAGCGCAACCCCGACTGTAAGTGTCATTGGCACTCCATTGCAACAGCAAGTCACAACAGTGGCATATGTTCCCCAGGGAGTAGCCCCTGGTCAACAGATTGTCATAGCACAAGTCCCACAACAGCTTACTCAGCAAGCAGCAGTACCCACTAGTGTAACTTATACCACAGTACCTACGACAGTAACATACAGCTCAGTGCCGCCCACTGTGACGTACGTGAGCACGCCAACTATTGAGACTGTGACACCTTCTCGGCCCCAGACGCATTCCTCAGGAGATGAATCTCCAACAGAAATAACTGTTCCATCAAGTGTTCCACTTCCTGCCCTTGACTCACCCACAGAGGTTACGGATAAGAAAAAAACAAGAAGGGGTGTCTTACCTAAACAAGCAACAAACATTATGAAGACTTGGCTTTTTCAACATCTTGTGGTAAGTGGATGATAATAAATCACTTAGGTTGTGTATGTTTGTGGGTCAGTGCTTCTGAACATTTTATATGTGTTGAGGGCTTGACTATTTTGAGCATTAAATTTTTTGTCCCCCTCTGACAGGTGCGGATCCACACCAGTTTCCACCATTTTACAGAAATTGGTCAGATTTTTTGTATTTAATATAATACATTTTTAATACAAAAAAGCTGTTCTAGTTGAAACTGAGAGATGAAATAATCCACCAATTTGCAGTGTGAGGAGAATGGAGGAGAATGGAGCCAGCCAATAATAATAATTATTATTATTATCCTGTGTAAATGACTCAGAAACCCAGGAAAGGGAGAGGAAAAATCCAAAAAGTTTTCCCTGGGGAGCATGCCCCCAGACCCCCTTAGAAGCTTTGGCCTTTCTCACTCATTTCGAAAATTGGTCATTATTTATCCTAGATCTGTGCCTGTCTGATGAATATTAGGGGTAAACAAGAAAATCATTGGGGACAAATATATATTTATTAAAGTTATCTGAATTTGTTTCTGGAACTCTTGCATGTGAAACAAATAACATTAAGGCCTCGTAATTGAAGACGTTGATGCGTGTTCAAGGGCCTTGTTTCTCCATGAATAACCCTTTGAAAGTTTCTTGTATGATCCAAAATGTATGCAAACTGTCAACATAGGTTAAACTAAAAAGTTGATTCAACACTCTATAATACATGTAGTAGTGTTTTCAGTCATTTGAGCTTGTTTTGGGGGTTAAAAACTGGAGTATTTCCTCTTCCAACAGTCCCTCAATTAATGCCCAACAGTTTGTATGGCTTTTAACATCCTGTGCTACTTTGGGAGCTTATCGCCCTGGCTTTCCTGTTTTTTTTTTTGTTTGTTTTGTTTGGTTTTTTGTTTTGTTTTTTTATTCCCTGATGGAAATCCTTCTTTCCTGATGCAAATAAATAGCCTGGTTGAAAGCAGGGGTTAGCTTTTTTATGCCCAAAAAGACAGTTGTTTTACACACTCATTAATTCTTTTTCTTTGCCAGCATCCATACCCCACGGAAGATGAAAAACGAAGTATTGCAGCTCAAACTAATCTTACCATTCTTCAAGTCAATAACTGGTGAGTTGTAAGTGAGTTCTAATAAAGCCAGTTATTATAATAATCTGCTTCTGTATGCTGTTGTGATTTTGCACTCTTATCCAAAATAATATTATTATTATTGTTGTTGTTGTCTTTTGACCGTTATGCTTTTTGTTAACCCTTTAAGTCCTAATATCCACATACAAATTCTCCAAACTGATCTCCATACATTTCCTTGAAGAATTAGTTGAGAGAATTTGGTAAAAGATCAAATATTTTTCTCTTTGTGATCATTTTGTTAATTCTCATAGACTTTGCTCATGATAGTCTGTGGATATTGTTAGGAGAAAATTAATTTTGAGCAATACTGGTACTTCACAGTAAGGTTCAGATCAGATTAAGCCTTGGACAACTAGGAAAAGAACTAAGAGTACAAAGCACCTCTTTCTCCTCTCGCACCCCCACTCAATAAAATTAGTGTGATTGTTAAGGTTTAATTAAAAAAAAAAATTCTCATCTCTTTTTAGTGTCACTTTGTTGCATTTTTTGTGAAAATTTTCTGTATTATTGTGTAAATAGGTTCATTAATGCAAGACGTCGTATTCTTCAACCCATGTTGGATGCCAGTAATCCCGAAGGACCTAAGGCTAAAAAGTCAAAAATCCAAAGTCGCCCAGCTCAGCGTTTCTGGCCAGAAAATTTAGTCCCTAGTCAGTTAGCAACTGTTCCCATAGCTCCGGCTCCTGTCACTGTACAGGCGGTAATGCAAGGTGGAGCTGTTCAAATGCAGACAGTACCACCTGGTGCGACTGTTGCTGTACCACCAGGCGTGGCTTTACCCACAACTATAACGATACCAAATGTACAAGGGACCACAGTCATCCCAGGAACTGTTGCTATTCAACAACAACCACAAACAGGCACACCAACCACAATGGTGGTTGTAACAATACCCCCGTCAGCAAGTCAGATCAGTACAGCGTCTGCATCTGAAAGTTCCTCAGTTGTTACATCCCACCCGACGATGATGGCGTCAGCTGTGTCATCACAAGTTGAAACAGTCCCGGTCAGTAATCTGTCTCCCATGTACACTAATATCCAGCAAGGCAGTCCATCTCTACAGAGTTCCCCACTTCCAACCATGGTACAAAATGGTGGAGAAGGTAGTCTTGTGAATTCACCCCACCACCTTCCTACGTCAAGTGTCAGCATAGCCGGAGTCCAGGAGAACTTAGTAGGAGTTACCGCAATTACTATGGATAATGCTGTGGTCTCGAGAGGAATAGTAAACTGATTTTACAGGGCTTTGTTTGTGATTTACATAGCTGTCAACTGCAAAAGTTTTGTTCCGTAATAATTATATTAACTCTTTCACTCCGTGTTGTGGTGTATCACTGTCTGCTTAAATGGCTCATACAGTGAAAAGCTTAGTGATAACCAACCATAGTCAATGCAACAGTCAATAATGTTATTTGAATATTGGAAAATTGAATCCTTTTGTCATTGCCTGTACTACCATTGAACTCAAATCTTCATTCTGGCATGCACAATAAACTGTTAAGTTGGGACTATTTTATGTATTTGGTCAGTTTGAAAAATCTTTCTATTCAGATGTCTGAGTGAATAAAGTTTGTCTGAAGACATTTATATTAAATTTAAGAAGAAAATTGAGCTTGCTGGTTGAAATAATATCTCTCATGTGAATTTACTTCTCACTACCCATGCGGGAATGCCAGAAAGAATCTTGTAACAGTAACAACCAACAGATTCAATTTTCAAATATTCAGTTCAGTAGTTGGGTTTATGGGATGCACTTGAGCTGGCGTGACTGTGATATTTATATTCTTTAACAATTACTCTTCATTTAGCAAGATGATGAAAATTCAATGTTATTATGCTTCTTTGCTTTACTCAGTTCACAGTTTGACAAAGCTGACTAAAGTGTCCTTTGGAACCATGCCAAAATAAATAAACTTAACATTAAAAGAGGAAACATTATGCAAGAAATTCTTCATTCTTAAGGGAAAAAGGGAGATGTCAAGTGTTCCCTAGGGTATCTTACTCATAAGGTACTGATAGCTTTGAATCTAAAAATTTACTTTGTTGGTTGTTAATGAGGCCCACAGGGCTTGAGGTGTGTTTGCTGTATTTTTGTGGCAGTTAAATTTTTGTTAATGTTGATTCTTAAATTATGAAAGGCATCTTTCAACATAGGTTCCTGATTTACTTTATCTCACTAATTACAATATTACAATTTTTTGTCTCTTAATAAACGTGTTTGTGGTCTGTTCAACTATGAATAATTATATGCAAGTTATTTTCCTATGGCCAGAGTGCAAAGCACACAGGCCTTGAATCCAAAAGGAATATTCTGAGACTTGTAGTATGGATCAACAAAACGAGTTAAGTAAAGTACTTCTTACATCTCTTAGTGTTTTGAACAGGTATGAAAGGACTCTTGCAGGTTGTAGTAACGTAAAATGCAGACAACCACATTTATCGTCCATGTTGCATGCACTGAGAGATGTAACAAAGGTTGGGAGAGTTTTTCCCATTCCCCCAAAAAGTATCTTCAATTGAGTTGACAAGGATTAGAAGGAGTTGCATTTCATTACAAATAATAGATTAAAATCATATGACAGTTTTATGATTGTTCATTGGTTAGCGAATATGTGGTAAAATTAATGAGAGATTTTATAAGGAAAATAATAGCTCTATGTAAGTATAAGTTTTATATTGTACATTATTTTATGGAGCTGTATATTGCTGTTAAATTATTATTATTAACAAGTAAGTTTAGTATTCTATCACACATTCAAAATATTTTTTAGCAGTGTGCCATATTACACTTACTTTGAAGTAAGACTAAACTATTATGAAATGTAATATTAAAATATGACTNAGTTTTATATTGTACATTATTTTATGGAGCTGTATATTGCTGTTAAATTATTATTATTAACAAGTAAGTTTAGTATTCTATCACACATTCAAAATATTTTTTAGCAGTGTGCCATATTACACTTACTTTGAAGTAAGACTAAACTATTATGAAATGTAATATTAAAATATGACTAAAAGAAGAATTATGGATTGTTTGTACTTGTCCCCTTGACAAGGGGAAGTGTAGCTAATAGTTCTGTGAATCAGGTATGATGAATAGTCAGTCAGGAAAATGTCTGACTAAATTTGAACTCCTTTGCGAGGCCAGACATGATTGGAAAAATAAACCACCAAAACTGTCTTTTTAACACTGAGTTACATGGTGCAAAATGAAGAAATAGGCTCTTTTGAGTTCCAAAAACTCTCACACTTTCAAAACAAGTTGAAGTGGAAAAAACCTATCTTATGAGAATGAGTTGTTTGAATGAGAATAAAAAAGCTAATTTTTCATATCAATAGCGGGATTAGCCTCGCTAATGGCATAGTAAAGGTCAGTGTAATGCACATGTATGCATGACTGGTTTGTCCAACAAACATGATGACCTGCTCATACCACAGTATCCCCAGTAAAAGTCAGTGTAATATATGCCTGACTGGTTTGTCCAACAAACATGATGACCTGCTCATACCACAGTATGACCAGTAAAAGTCAATGTAATGTATGCGTGACTGGTGTGTCAAACAAACATGATGACTTGCTCATACCACAGTATGCCCTTTCTAAAAAGTCAAATTATTTGCAGCTTTTGGATGCACCCTTATCGTTAAAAAGTCTTTAAAAAACAAATTAACATTTCCCTCAGTAGTAGACTGATGAGTACCATCCACAATTTTCCTCAGGGATATTAAAGGAGCGCGTGCAGAATGCAACATTTGAAGGGTGACATTTTCCTGAGTAGCGTTTTTCGCACATGCCATGCTTACATAATTTGCCACCCTGCCAGGAGGGCCTCACTTTTGCTTGCTCAAGTTCTGGGATCGTTTCGTTGGACAAGCGTTACTTATGATTGGTTAAGAGTTTCCTTTAAATTTATACCCCTTGACCAATCACCACTAACTTCTGTCCACCAAAATCGATCCCAGAAAGCATTGTACCCATTCTCTCTAGAGTTTCTGAAGTGGGGTATTATTAATATAAGGGAGGCAGTGTGGTCGAGTGGTCAGCACGTCAGACTTGCAATCTGGTGGTCCGGTGGTCCCGTGTTCAAGTCCCGCTTTAGCCACTTGCTGGATTTGTTCTTGGTCATCCCAAGTTCAAATCCTCAGCCAGGCTTGTAAATAGCCAATTGGTTACCTCCTGTCAGCTGGGGTATTTAATCCTGTCATGTTGTATTTGCATCATTTGTTTCAGAATTATTTGACTGGAGTGCCTGTAAACTAGCTGGATAAACTAAGTGCACTAATTTCCACTATAAGAAAAACCTTTCTGACCTTTTTTTAAAACCTTTTTATTTAAGATGGATGGTGCTGTTTACCAACAGACATTCACACTCACACTGAGATAAGACAGTTAATAGATGGTGTTCTGTGATAATTTTGGCATTTGTATTTCAAAGGACCATCTAATAATAGTCTAATTATAGAAAAATTGTCTGCCTATCAACTGATAAAAAAAGCTGAACTGGGAAAAAATTAATTAAGTTTTTATTATGTATAGAAATGGTCCTTGTCAGGTAGAATTAGAAAATATGAAATTATAAATTGAATAACAGAAAACATCAGTTATCAAAAAAATGACTGTTTCATTACAGTCTACAAAAATGGAAAATCCTTGGATAAAAATAATAACTATATAATACTTTAATATTTTGACTGTGATCATTGTGAGGCATGAACTTAATTAATTTTGTTATATTACATCAAATTTAAATATTTTATGGTAGTTTACCAAAAATAATCATCTCTCTGAACTATGACAACAGACTCCCACATAAAAAATTAATACCCTCAATGACATTTTTTTTATGAACTTCAAATGAAAGCTACTGAGCAGTACTTCAAATTAAACCTTTTCAGTAGCACTTTCACATAGTTATATTCATTTTTTGTTTTCTTTATTTATACTAAATAAAATATGAATTATTTTTCTTGAAACCTAATTTGCGGCACTGTTGGAGGTGACAGCGTAAAGGCTGCTTGCCAATCTGCCTGCAATTAACCTTTCCACTGCTTTGTCAAGTGAAGCACATGCACAGATCCTGAATGGAATGAACTCTTAGAACTACGAGGAGATGATACAACTAAGTCTACAGCTGATGCAGTGGGCAATGGAATACTGATGAATGTCGTTCCCAGACGGGACCTCTCCTAGGACAAAAACACACCTCTGTTTAATTCATTGGTAATGATTATTTCACTCATTTTTGAGCAGTACCATCATCTTGTCTAGATCAACTCCTGAAAGTAAGTTGACATTTCAAAAATTAAGATGTATCTTAACCCGCCCCAAAGTTATTTTTAGACTGGCAACTGCAGCTTTATAATAAAACAAGGAAGTCACTAAACATGGAACTCACTTTGGGGTTCCTTGCACTTTAATCTAAAATTAAGGTTAAGCAAGCACTGTTGCTATGGTTACCTGCTACATTAGGAAACTTGGTCAAAACTTGATAAAGCACCAATTGGATATTTATTTGATACAATGATAAAATTATTATAGCATCTTAAAAAAGTATTTGAAGAAGTATCAAGAAGAACCATTGTTGTTTACAGGACCAGCTTTTGATGCATATAAGTTATTAGTAAGAACATAAACAATTATTTTGTTTTCAGTACTATGTTACTTGAATTCCCCCAAGCAAGTTTAGAACAGAATTCACTAGCCTGATTGCAAAATCCACAAGCCCAGGACTATCAGACATGACTCTTGTTGCACACAGTTTAATACTTTTGCATAGCTTACCTCTGTAGACTTCACCACGAAGGAGGCCTATAAAATATTAAACACAAGATTACATTATTAGGTCTTAACATGTACGCATCCTTTACATTTGCTGTGGCCCTGGAATAACAATCTAAATGTTTTACAGCCCTTGCTTTATATTGCATCAGTTATATTTCCCTATTTATTTTTTGCCAGAACTTGTAATATTTTGCACTTTTACTGTTTTAGATTCAACCTTCATCCTAGGTAAAAATGTTTTTCCAAGTGGGCCTTCATTTTTGTCTGGTGGATATTGTCATGGTGTTATTTCTGGTGGTAAGGAATTCACCTAATGTAATATCTTAGGCCCGTTTCAAACGTCATGCTACTGCCTTGCCGAACTAAATTCGACGATAGCATGGCAGTAGTGTGACGTTTTAAACCAAGTTGTGCCACTTCCGTGCTGAACTCAATATTCACAAATCATAAATACATTAGAAAACATTTAAAAGTTTGCTAACCCATTTCTTTATTTTTGTGTTTTGTTTTCAGCAAGAGCCGTTCTATTCGCGTGAATTAAATTTGATGTCTGAAACCAAGTCGTGCTAGTGTCATGCTGCAGTCCTGCTGCAGTCGAGCCAGCTTAGCATGGCAGTAGCACGACGTTTGAAACAGGCCTTAGTAAGTCACACATCACTGATATTACCTTAACTCCAGGACAAGGATCAACTCCCTGACATCCTCTGGTGGCATTACCAGAAGGGAAGTTATTTCCTCCATAGAATGCATACAGTCCACCTTCCTCAGCTGAGATAAAAATAATAATTCACAGTGAGCAAAAAAAAAATCTTTTTGAATTCATTTTTGGCACGATCATCCTTTAAAAACAAGTGAAAATTACAAACTTGTCAATGCCAGAAACTACACACGTCATTAATTTGTGGTAAACATGACAAAAAAGACATGCGCTGTAGGCTTTTATGGGTTACGATGTTTAAATGAAATAATTTATTATCTCACAAAAAATTAAGGTGGAAACCCACATGGGGAGAGGGGTCGAGAAGGGCAGCAGATGAGTTGGTAGCTAGGATGAAGTTGCTACAACCTCAGACACAACATGTTGAGACACATCGCAAAAATAACTATCTTTTCCCATCATCCTGGCAAAAATGGAAACCACTGCCAAATCAATGCTTGTTTTCCCCCCTCCCCTTAATTATCCAATGTTGTTAAGGATGACACGAGAATTATGTACACTGGTTTTATACCTAATATACTTTAAATAGGGGGTGGGGATTGGGCTTACTTTTTCTGTCACGTTTAGAGGACTGAAGATGGTAGCATGGCACCAAAGTTACAAAACAGATGGAACTGTCTCAGTCAAGCCAGCTTTTTCTTGGCGTAAAGCTCTTATTTTGCCCAGTCAGAGCAAATCATCACGTACAACACAGTACTTTTACGAAAAGCCATAAATCAGGCAGCCACAATACGCAAATCTGGGTACTTTGGTAGGGCAGAGGCTTCATTTAGAGGGTGTAAATACTTGACAGTTACAATAAGAACTATTATTATTCATTCAAAATATTACCCTGATTCTGATTGGCTAAAAGCACATGCATAATTCACCATAACCTGCTACTGATGACCAAATTTGGAAGAATTTTTCATTTACTGAACCAATGACATCAAAAGTGCAGCTTTCTTGCAGATTAATGCACTGTTAACTGAGAAGACCTGGGGACGAGGTTGAGTTGTTTTGGTTGTGAAAACAAAAAATTCTAG